GTAGAAGGTGAATCTGTGGAGAAGGACAAAGAGGAATCCAGAAGCTCCAAGATCCAGCTCTTCAATTTTCCCTCTCTCTATTAGCTTGAATCTTTTGTTATTTTTGATATTGATTAAGACATGAATATTACTAGAAATCTGGTTCTTGTATTTATCATTAGAACTAAATTGCTAAGTTAGATCTATTAATGGAACCAAGGTTGTAAGGTTGATGTTGCTTGATGAATATTGATTAATGTTATTTCCTGTTCATCTATGTATGCTTAATGCTTATTTCTGTTTTTTACTAGCCATCGATCATAGAATATGAGACTAAGATTAATACTGAAAAGGTTAATTTTAGTTGGATCCAACATAGATGATGCAAGTTCAATACTTTTGTTTTAGTTTATTGATTTGTGAATGGTATAGGAATATATTGTTCATCTTGCATAACAAATAGAAATCCGAGCTTAATTTGCATTCTAAGACTTGATTCACATAGGAACATGCTGGAAATGGTTGATGAATCTGTAGACATAAAGACTTCGGAAGAATCTTATGCATAATAAAAGAGTTTCTGTTAACATGTCGTTTAAATGCTATAGCATTCTTGCAGCATTCTCGTAGCATCCTGCCATCAGAGTTACAACTAAGGAGAAATTAGTAGGTCTAGCTTATTTACATCACTGCATACACTCCATTTTAGTATTTTTGATCTTTTGGTTAATCTTTTTTACTGTTTATTTTACATTTCTGCATTTATAACAACTGGGTAATTTTTTAACAATCAGTTTTTGTCACTTAAAACGGGTAAACTAGTTGATTTCTGCTTGTACACTTAGTGATTCATTCTCTGTGGGGTGATATTCGTACTCTGTACACTTTATTACTTGATTGCGACACGTGCACTTGTGAGCATAAAAATCACGCAACAATTGGATAATTTAATTGCTCGTATGGATCTTAGCAATACATACCTTTATCCTTAACACTCTAATATATTGTTTGACCATAATATGAGTTTAGTGATTGTGCAAGTCCATATATAATCATTCACAATATTCTCCCACTTTACTGCATAATCAATGACGACAATACTCATACAATACAAAATGTCAAATAATAATATGCAAACAAAATACATGGATAAAGACAACAAGCTTAAGCTCTAACAAAACTCAAGCGTCCTACCAAGTAACAAAACTATCGATAGGATAATTTTATTACCCGTATGGACTTTCGGAACATAATTAACAAATTAAGTTTATCCATATAATCCCACAATTTATTATTTGATAATAGTATGTGAGTTAGTGATTATGCTAATCCACAAAAAAAAATGTTTCTAATTTTCTCCTACTTGGATAGCATAATCAAAAAACATGATACTTACATAAAATAAGATATTAAATAATAATGATAGCAATAATAAATAAATTATGGATAAACTTATAGCTTAAGCTTTATAATAGCACATGAGCTTCTAATTAAAATTTTCATTCTCACTTTAACACAAAAGAGACCGCGTATGCATATACAAAGAATTAGGCATTAAAACATTAAACATAAAATGGGCATTTCAAAATTTAAACAAACATCCATATTATATGTCTAAATTTTATTTACCAAAATATCAAATTATGTGGGAGAACAAATAAAATATGACCATATAATATGGAGTAACAAACATGCCCTAAAATTTTAGGTATCAAAATAGTGAGAATTAAAACTACCCAGAAAATATATGAAAAGTATTACAATAAACAAATATTTAAATAAAAATATGTTCTAGTAGCTCATGTGCATCCATGTAAGGAGTGTGTGTATCCCAATGCCTTTTTCAAAAAGAAATGTTAAATTTTGTAGGAGAGCTCCGTAACATACGCAAACAATTTGACATGTTTAGACTCGCGACAAGCAAGTACATAAACATTCACTATTGTCGAATTCTCACAATTACATATGCCATGTAATATTAACA